GACCAATTCTTTCAAATCGAAAGAAAGGTTAAATGTTAGGAATGATATCGAAATCGAAGCTCAACTAGAACCATTAATCAAACAGTTATCAGAACGAATTGGCGTGTTGTCTGATGGTAGTGAAAGTAATAACGTTGATAAAAATGATTCAAATGATAAAGATGAGAAAAATAGTATTTCAAATATAACTAATTTAACAGATTGGACATTTGTTTTAGTAGATGGGTTTCTTCTTTATTGGGATATGCAAGTTGTGAAGGAATTAGATATTAAATTATTCGTTCAAGCTGATTACGCGATATTGAAAAAAAGACGAGAGGAACGAACTGGATATGTTACCGTTGATGGTAAGAATAAATGCATGCTTTTCTAATATATTCGAATTTGATGCGATATATGAATAATCCTATCATATTTATAACCTTTACTTTCAATTAGGTTACTGGTCAGATCCGCCAAATTATTTTGACACAATGGTATGGCCAAACTACATAAAATCCCACAGACATTTATTTAAAGATCAATCACTGACTATTGATGAATTAGTGGTGTTGAAATCAAATTGTGCAAGGGATATGCATATGAATTTAGAAATGGTCGTTGAGAATGTTTTAGGGTTTGTTAAGAACAACGAAGTTTGTTGAAAGAAGAAACGTTCGAAAATTAATAAAGATTTTCGAGGCTGGAATTTATAGAATCAATAGAATATATCATCATAGTCAATATTATCATAAAATGAACATAACAACTGAAAACAGCATTTGATAAAGTATGAGTTTCTATATAGAGGTCACCTTTTTTAGAAGGTTGTGTTCATAATTTTATGAAAAATATCCATACACAATTTTTGATTTTTAATAAATTATACAATTTTTAACAATTGGTTACAAAATTATTTCGTTTAATAATTTCATGATCAGCTAAATCTTATGATGTCAACTGAAACCGATTGACTTAAGTTTTTTTACCTTAAATACAAAAGAAAAGTTAGGGTTTATGATAACTATAAATTACGAATCACATCTATACAATTATAGTAAGCATTTCTTATATTGACAATTTCTATCAATGTTCATGATAGTCTCCGCTGTATATGCAGGATAGTTTATTCAGCACTGTTGGTAGAAATGTTTGTTTCCCTCCGTATGGTTCGATAACAAGAAATCTTAACAAAAAACTATGGAAACCTTGATTGTATTCCACTATTAATTAATCATATAATTCAGAACATTTGGTTTGTGAAATATATTAAATACTAAATTCTTTCTGTGGAAGTTTTAATGAAGAAGAGATACAAATGAACAAGAGATGCAAATGAACAAGAGATACAAATGAACAATAGATGCAGATGAACAAGAGATGCAAATGAACAAGAGATACAAATGATTAAGAGATGCAAATGAATAAAGAGATGCAAATGAACAAGAGATGCAAATGAACAAGAGATAC